TGGATATTTTTTTCATACTTGAAATTTTATTGTGGAGTGGTTAGCTTTTTCTAGTTCATCCGAATTTAGTTAAAAAATTTTACCTGCGCAACTTTCATCAAGAATACCAACTATTACATTGGCAATGTAACGACCCTCTACATCGGTCGTCTCATCGATACTGACCCAAATTTTATTCTCTGAAAGTTTTTATTATATCGTTAATAGTATCATTATAAATTTCATCTACGTATCCTTTTCGCAACGTAGATTTGCTCGGAATTTCTTTTTTTATATACATTTCCAAAAATGTTTTTAGTTTTCAATTTTCTATTTTATTTAAAGAAATGTTAGCAGAAATAAGAGCCTCACGCAAATCTTTGTTCAATGATGATTTTCTATTACTTATTTTTGTCAAAAACTGTTGCTGTCGATTAATTTGATTTTTATATCAGACAAAGCTTTTTATATGTTTGAAACTTTTTAAATGTTGCGATACATTGAAATTTTTGTCGGAATTAACTTTAATTTTACAACTTTTCAAATGACGCAGATACAACACATAGAAATGACGATGGGATACTAAAAGTTTTAGTCTGAAATAAAAACATTGTATATGTAAGTAATATGAAGATAATGCCAAGACCTATGTAAATACGGTGATGACGATAATAGTAATACAGTTTGACAGGAAATGAGCAAATTATTGTAAATAATATGAATTGTATTATCGACAACAACAATCGAATATATCACATATGATAATCAAAATACTTGTTAATTTTCGTTTTCATATTCATATTTATGTGTTAATATAGTTTTTTGTCAGTAAAATTTTGGTCATTTAAGATATATACAGGGTGTTCAGTAAGTCAGGAAACGGGTTTCTATTGTTCTCATTGTTTGTAACAATGAGAACAATAGAAACCCGTTTCCTGATTTACTGAACACCCTGTATATAATCTAGCTAAAAACAGCACTTAACCCTAAAAATTAGCAAAATATGCATTTGCTAAAACTTCTGAGCCCTGTTCATAAGTGAGCGTTCGATGTATTACCAATAATATTCCAGCTCAAAACAGTTGCATTTCGTATAATATTGCTTTTATTTAAAATATCTAGATATTCTCAACACTGTTCATACGAGAGATAATTTAAATGAAAGAAGCACTTGAAAATTTACATATTCTTATTATTATATTTATATATATTTCATGATCCCGAAAGAAAAAAATCATAAATCTAACTAGAAATAAAAAATAGTCCTTGGTTAGACTACCAGATAGTGCTTAATTATATCTGGAGCTGAATCCATTTTGACACAATTTGTGTTTAACTATGATTACGATTTGAGCTATAGAGATCCTGATAAATATCCTAAATATTTCCAATATTAGTTCATCATAAAATATAATAATTTAGTTTTAGGTTCGATGCGAAGCTGAGAATTTTAATATACGACTTTCATTTACTATATGAATAATTTAAATTATTATAAAATATGAGTGAATTTGTTTTATTTCATCATACAAATTTGTTGTTTTTAAAAACTCAATTACATTGTAATTGTTGTTTAGATCCATTCTTATTACTGTATACAAATTGATTTGAATTTTGCGTTCTGCACAAAGTATTTATATGTTAGATACATTCTGTAATTTCATGTTTTACCGTTAGAAGTGCCGTTTCATAGGTTTGGCGTTTTAGTTGCTCTTCCTTGCACATCAAATGCTCATGTGTGTCCTATGTCCAGTCAATTAATGGATTATTTTATCTATGTGATAATTCAATACAAAATGGTATATGATAACTACGGCATATGCTTTTGTTCATAGTCCAGTCTAATTGCTGTGGTAAAAGTGCGTTACAAAGTGATAAATTGATAAATAAATCAAGATTGATTCATCAATAGCTGATAAATTATCATCGTAGGGGTTTATCATTTGAGTAATTTTTCCTGTATTTAGAATAGTTAAATTATCATTATCTAGTGGCGTTATCTTGATTTACCCTTTGAGTCTGTATTAGTGACCCCCAATATTTTATGGTAACTATTAAAGTAACTTGGTATAATATATGGAAAAAAATTCAATATTTATAAATTCAATATTTAAAAACCCAGCACAGGGAGGTCGCGTCACAGTGGTGACGTAGCATAGTTGGATCAAGTATAATGATATCTGACAGTGATTAAAATCACTATAAAAAAAAAACGCTTCGATGCAAATCTTTAGATAGTGTTTAATTTTAAAAAATTAGTGGATTATTCCAAAAGTTACATGATCTGATAGTTCCTTATTAAAGATAAAGTATGTCGAATAAAAAAGGGATTATTAAAAAATATTATTTCTCATAAAAAAATTGTATTGATCCATACACTTTTCAATAAGTTATAGCATTATAAAGTTAAAAATATAAAAAATAAAATCGAGATTTTTCACACAAAAATAGAATTTGGTAGCCATTTTCACCATGAAGACAAGTTCAGAGGTCAATTTTTTTTTTTCATAATAAAGTACACTTACATTAGTTTAATTTAAGATATATATAAAAGTGTCAGACCTTCCGAAACATTTTCAAAAGTTAAGTTGAAAATGTTAATTTTTTGTGAATAATTTGTCATTTTAAATCCCCTCCTGTGGGCAGATAAAGGGTCAGATTTATAAAAAAAATATACCAAATGATAGGTAAAGACATCGTGCATCTATAAAAAAATATATATTGAATTAGTCATTTTTGAAAAAGTTAAATTAGTATTAAGTAAAAAAATTTAAAATATTCGAATATTAGTTTATAAATTTATAATTTTTTGACGGTTTCCTCCATTTACGAGGAACGAGGGGAATTTTTTCAATTTTTGGGGGTAATGTGTTCGACTAGATACGATTTGTGATCTTTTGACGTATCATTGAAGGAAATCGGTTCGGTGAGAGCTGAGAAAAAGTGGTAACAGACACAAAAAAAAAATAATAATAATAAACACATCTTAGTAAAACCAATACCTTCTCAGCTTCGCATCGAAGCTAAAAATTAGAGTTTTACTTAATTATTAATATTTTTGAAAAATGTATGTTTCAAGAGTTAATTTTTTCATTTGCAATGCAAAGCTGAGAAAATATTGTTTTTACTATGATGTAATTTTCTTTATTTGTGTCAGTAATTTTTTTCAGTTCCATTGAATAATTTTGTCTAACAATATGTAAAAATTATCATATTTTAAATCATTATCGTTATTTTTTGGAAATTTTACCGTTGTTCCGCGTAAATGAGAAAGAGTCTCTAAAAATAATACCCCTGTGGGCATATAAAAGGTCAAATTTACAAAAAAAAAATACCGAATGATAGGTAAAGACATGAAGCATCTATAATAAAATAAAATTATATTGATTGGGTTATTTTTAAAAAAGTTAAAGCAATTTTAAGTAAAAAAAATTGAAAAAATTTCGAATATTAGCTATTTTTAAAATTGTATTTTTTTTGGAGGTTTCCCCCATTTACGGGGAACAAGGGAATTTTTTTCAACTTTTGAGGGTAATGTCTTCGACTAGATACGATTTGTGATCTTTTGACGTATCATTGTAGGAAATCGGTTCGGTGAGAGCTGAGAAAAAGTGGTAACAGACACAAAAAAAAACACATCTTAGTAAAACCAATACCTTCTCAGCTTCGCATCGAAGCTAAAAGAAATCAAAAAATATATTGAAATTTTCTGATAAATTTACAGTGAATAGTAATTATACAATGTCCTGACTCCGTATTAATCTTAAGAATACTATTTTTTATTTTCATAAAGTTTTCAATTTAATTATGTAAATTCAAACTTGAAGTTGGGCTAAAAGTTATGGTAACAAATTCAACTTTTTTCATTATAAACTTTCAAAAAATAAACTTTAAAAGACCAAAAATTATATTAAAAATGATATTTTGCACTAATTATTCTTAACATATTAAAAATCAAAATCTGTAATAATTTAAAAACAATATTTTTTTGTTTTTAATTATCTTTTTATCGTAATAATTCATTTCAAAAGAAATATTAATAATTGCTATGTAATTTTTGACCTTGAAATAGATGATTTACCAATCGACAATGTAGTTTTTAAATTTTAGTTTTGAGAATTCGTTATTTTATTAAATACATGCTGTTCATACATATGCTACTATGTATGAATACATTCCTTAAGCATAATAATAGTTACAAAAAATGTTTCTTGGATTACTTTAATAATATTTAGTAATTTGTTTTAAAAAAAATACCAAATTATCTAAATTTTTATTTTAATTAAAAATAGATGAAAACATGACTTTACTTATAATAAAAAATTACAGACGTAATCAAATTTGTTCATTTTTATATTTACGTCGGTTAAAATTATCTGTCACGGCAATAATTGAATTGAATAAAAAACATTTTTAGTCATAAAATAAATATAGTATGATTCTTTAAACGCTATCCACTCGATTTCTCTTAAAATAATAATTATCTTGGAAATATTTATAACATATTATATTATTGTATACATTGTATTTTTCGATTATCAGTTATTAGTTACTTTTATAATTCATCCCTAATTTTTAAAAGGGTTTCAACTAAATATATTTAAATAGCAACATACATATTTAATTAGCAAGACAAGAACAAATTTAATCCTCTACTTTGAAAATAAGTACCATTTTAAAATATAGACTGGATGTGAGGCGGGATAGACGATATTTATTATTAGATTTTTTTTAACCGAAACCCTCCTGCAGTCTTGTTATAAAACCGTTAATAATTTCCGAAATACAGGTTAAAAATTTGTTATCGACCAGACATATTTCAGAAAAATTCAGATAAAACACATATAAATAATAAGGGATGACTTAAAAAATTAATTAATATATGATAAATGAAGAAATATATCACATAAGAAAATATCAAAAATAATATTATTGACATAGTTATTATTTTAAGAGAAATTGATTACCTAGTGTTAAAACAAATACCATGCATAAGTTAAATATATTAGGTGTGTTTTAGAGTATAAAAATCCCACTGTTGAACACTTCTTTAATAGGTCGTAATTGTATGAAGTTACTTTTGCTATAATGATACGTCACATAGTATTTCAAACTGTTTTTTTTTCTTTATTGTATCAGCTAAATTGTCAGCAAAAAAAAACGGTAAGCAGACTAAATTTATTTAAATAGTTTACTAATATAAGGTATATATAGCCTAGAGATTGTTGCTCATTATATTTTAGCTTCGATGCGAAGCTGAGAAGATATTAATTTTACTATGATGTGTTTTTTTGTTTGTTGTTACTTTTTTTCACTTTTGTTGTCACTTTCAACAATACATCAAAAGATCACAAATCGTATCTAATTGAAGAAATTGCTCTTCAAAATTAAAAAACATTCCCTCGTTTCCAATTAATGGGGAACATTTCCCAAAAAATTACAATTTTTAAAATCTGTATATTTCGTCTTTTTTTAAACTTTTTTCTTAAAAATGAAATAACTTTTCGAAAAATGAATATATAAAAATAATTTTTTTTATTTTGAAACCTTAGATATATTTTTCATTAAATATAATTTTTTTGAAATTTGACCCATTACCTGTCCATAGGGGGATTCAAAATAGCAATTTCTGCACAAAAATTTAACTTTTTAAACTTAAGTTTTAAAAATATTCCAGAAATACTTCGAGCTTTAAACATATATTGAAATAAAGCTTATGTTGTGTAGTAGAGGTTTAAAAAAAATAATTGTCCCAACGACTTATCTTCTATGTGTAAATGGTTACCGTAGTTAAAAAATATTCATTTTTTTTTTTTTTTTGAACTTGTAGTATATAATATAAGCTTTAATTAAAGTTTGAAGCTCGGGGTATTCTCAAAAGTTATTTTGAAATTAATACCTGCTCAGCTTCTATTGAAGCTAATAAAAATTTAAGAATATCTGTTATTGTCTAAATGATTCTATTTTAAAGTGATTATCATTATATTTGCTCTTGCTAAATAAATAAAATAATATTTAATTTAAAGAATAATATCATATTGCATACATTTATTACATTATGAATGAATGTATCTTTTTGTTTTATAATAGCAACGTGAAAAAAATGAACATTTTTTAAGCATAGTAAATGATATTTTCGGACCAAATAAGAATTTACTTACGGATGTAGAACTTCAAATGCTTTTAAAACGAAATGAAGTAGATGAAAAATTTTCGATTTTTGAAAACGATAAACTTCAAGATAAAATGTGGAAATTAGGATGCAAGTACACAGAACTTTGCCTTTATATAATGTACCACATCAAATATGACATGGTAAATAAAAATAATATAAAGTATAATGTGCTACAGGTATTCAAGATAATTGTACATCGCATGTTATCGATATACTATTACATTATAGGTATTACTTCGAGCGGCATCTGGTATACATCAATTACCATAAATGCATTGGTTGAACAAAAAATACCACCACAAGAAATTAGATTTACTTATATCCAGAACATGTTAAACTTTTGTAGGTTTTCCTATCACAAAAATAATTTACAATATCTTCCTAAAACAAATAATAATTATCCTAATCTTGATACAATATACGAAATATCAAAACAATTAAAATTGCATCCCGACTTTAATTCCGAGACGTTTAACGAAATTTATCAGTATGAAGACGTATCAAATGTTTATAGCTTTTTTTGGGATAACGATGATGGTTATAAGACATTCATTCCTAAAGAAATATTTCCAAGTTATAATGAATCTCATATAGAAACGACATATATAACTGTGTGCCAATATTGGAAAAAGGATTATTTTATATTGTGGGAATATACTGACGCTCTTAAGAGAAATTTATTATTGGTAACTTATTATTATTTAGCTCGTCATAGTATTTGTCTTCTAAATTTCTTTTTAAACGCATTTGACGAAGGAGTTTTTTTGAATTTGTTTAAAATCCCATTAAACACAATAACTGAAATAGGTGTATTTTCAAGCGAATTGTTATTAAGACCATTCATAGATTACGTAGATGACATGAAAAATGATAAAATAATTAACCAGCAAACATTAATGATGTATACCACTAAAGTCATAGGATCTTTCAATATACTAGCAAACAATTTTAAAATTTCAAATATTAAACGTACTGACATAATAAATAATGATTCGTCAAAAAATCCATTGAAACATTCAGATGTAGAAAATCAGTTAATGTTGTATGCTACTAATTTGCAAAACTATTTTGAAAAGGTAAGAAATGGAATGGCACCTGTTGATTTTGTTGTATTAAAAATATTTAAGACTAGTAAAGACAATATATGAAACCATAATTTTTACTTCAAGTTAAATTCAGATTTGATGCCATTTTAACAAAATGGACATAAAATTAAGTTTAAAAATTTTAAGAATTTAAATAAATAGCCAAGCAAATGAAACAAAAAACATATGAGAATATGTATTGTTAGTCGTAATAGTGTAAACATGTAAATATGATTCCATGCATAATAGAAACTCAATGAAATATCTGAAATGTATTATATAGATTATTATTTAGTCACTATAATGACTAAATATTTAGTTATACTTATTTAGTACGATATTTAAGTGGTCAATGAAATAATAATTATTAAACGAATTATTAGCTAAAAATACAATAATTATTTTATTATTAAATATTAAAATAATCAATAATGAAAAAAAAATTAACACTAAATTTTATTCAAACAAATTTTTTTTTACTTATTTAAATATTTTTAAAAAATCATACTACTCTTCATATAAGATTAAATAATATTTTCCCATTTGGAGCCAAATAGAAAATGTTTCTTCTTAGCATACACTCAGACTGGTTCACTGTGCTACAGTGGCCCGAAGATTATTATATCTACACCCAGAGAAAAACCTCGATCTATATAATAAATTCATTGTTCAATTCAATAAATATATTACTATTGAACCTATGATATATTTATCAATATATTTTAGCTTCGATGCGAAGCGGAGAAGGTATTAATTTTACTATGATGTTTTTTTTTTTTTTTTTATGTCTGTTGCCACTTTTTCTCAGCTCTCACTGGACCGATTTCTTTCAAAAATACGTCAAAAGATCACAAATCGTATCTAGTTGAAGACATTACCCTTAAAAATTGAAAAAAATTCCCTCGTTCCCCGCAAATGGGGGAAATATCCAAAAAAATTACAAATTTAAAAATCGCTAATTTTCGAAATTTTTTCACTTTTTTTTCTTAAAACTTCCATAACTTTTTGAAAAATCAACAAATCAACATAATTTTTTTTTATACTAAAACCTTAGATATTTACCTTTCATTTGATATCATTTTTTTGAAAATCTATCACTTAACCTGCTCATTGGGGGGGATTTAAAATGGCAACTTTTTTACAAAAATTAATTTTTTCAACTTAATTTTTGAAAATGTTCCGGAAAGACTGCGTCCTTTAAACATATATCAAATTAAAGCTTATTTTATGTACTACAAAATGAAAAAAAAAAATTTGTCCCGACACTTTTTTTTCTACATTTAAACGGCTGCCGTAGTTAAAAAAACACTATTTTTGTGTTAAAATTTTCGATTTTCGATTTTAAATTTTCAACTTAAAAATGCTATAACTTTTTGAAAAATGTATATATCAGCACAAATTTTTTTTTTCTAAATACATTATAAGTACATCTTTCATTTGACATACTTTTTATTAAAATTGGACAATTTCCCCTTATATAGGGGGCGTTCAAAACTTAAAATATTGTAAAAAACATAGATCTTTTTCAACTGAACTTTTGAAAATGTTCCGGAAATACTGCGTCCTTTAAACATATATCAAATCAAAGGTTATGTTATATACTATCAAATGAAAAAAAAAAATTTGTCCCGACATCTTATCTTCTATGTGCAAATGGCTGTCGAAAATTTAAAAAAAAATGTAATGTTTGCGATAAAAATTACCTTTTATCGGGATGTTTTTTGTACTTAAAACTGCCATAACTTTTTCAAAAATGAACAAATAAAAATAATATTTTTTTGTATTGAAACCTTAGATATTTCCCTTTCATTTGATATAATTTTTTTTGAAAATCTAACACTTATTCTGCTCACTGGGGGGATTTAAAATAGTAACTTTTTTACAAAAAATAACTTTTTCAACTTAATTTTTGAAAATGTTCCGGAAATACTGCGTCCTTTAAACATATATAAAATTAAAGCTTATTTTATGTACTACAAAATGAAAAAAAAAAATTTGTCCCGACGACCTATCTTCTATACGCAAATGGCTACCATATTCAAAAATATGCTATTTTTGTATGAAAATTATGGGTTTTGTATTTTATTTTAATAGAAGTTGATGTTGCTTTTGCAATTATCCAACAATTTTTTAAAATTAAACACTATCTACAGATTTGCATCGAAGCGTTTCTTATGATAGTGATTTTAATCACTGTCAGATTAAATCTAGACTGAACCCAACTATGCAATGTCTCCACTATGCCGCGACCCCACTGTGCTACCGTTTTTTTTTTCTTATCTTGTACAATAATTATTTATAAGAATAGTTATTTTGTTCGTATTAATAAAACATTATCATAAACCCTTGATAAAATTTCTCTATCTATTTTGATTGAGGTTTTTCTTTGAGTGTACGACAGATTGACCAAGTACCGAGAAGATTTTTTTCATTTTTTTAATATTTCATTGATTTAAAAATACCTTCTCTAATATTATATAACATGTAAATATATTATACAATCATATTTATGAAGAATCCATAGACGAATAATTGGTAATATATTTAGAGGTTCTAAAATAATTTAAGTTAATTGATCATGGAAGCTTATATATTATAATATTTAATATATTATTTACTCAAATTATTAAATTTGTCATGCAAACTGGAATTGATGAATAAAAAAATTTAGTTCAAGAAAAATGAAAATTTTTGTTATTTAATTTTTCTAGACAATCTAGATAATACCTAATTTATCTAATCTACCAAATCAATTACATAACATAATTATATTTTCTTCTCATCGAAAATATTGCCAGTACAAAATTAGTATAAACATAATTATTGAAACTAAATGATAACACATGTAATAATTTTTTTGGGGGAGAATTAAGAAAGGACTTGGTTTTTCTAAAAGAAAAGAAAAGGAAATGAAATGACAGATTCATTTACAGAGGAAATTTTTAGAATACTGATTTTTATGAAATAAAAAATACATTTAAGTAATGTTATTTTGTAGTATTTATATTACTGGTGATTCGTATATCCCAACCCACTTAATTACTTACAAAATAAAAGTAATATATTTTTGCAAAATATATTGCAAAACTGAGAAGGTATTAATTTTACCATGATGTGTTTTGTTCAAAATCAATTTTTTTTACTTAATAGTGCCATAACTTATTTAAACATGATCAAATCAATATAATTTTTTTTAAATAATACATGAGATAATTACCTATTATTTTTACCTCAAAAAATTTTTGTCCCAACATTTTTTCTTTTATAGAAAAATGGCCGTCAAATAAAAATCACTGTTTAACATGAAATATTTTAATACTTAAAACAGCTATAACTTTTTGACAAAAAAAAATCAAAATTTGTTTTGTTTATATTGAAACTATAGATATGTTTCTTTCACTTGATATAATGTTTTTGAAAATCTGACTCTAAATTTGTTCGCAAGAGGAATTCAAAAAACAATTTTTGAACACAAGTAAAGCTTTTTCAATGTAATTTTTGAGAATGTTCCGGAAATATTTATACTTTTATTTAATCTTAAATTAAAGCTTATCTTACATACTTAACTATGATTAAAAAAATTGTAAATATAGATTTTTTTTCTTGGTGAAAATGGCTACCATATTCAAAAATATGCTATTTTTGTGTTGAAATTCATTGTTTTGAATTTTATTTTATTTTAAAATTTTTTAAAAGGGGTATACACTGACTTTCATGAAAATTATATAGTTTAATTGACATAGAATAAAGTTCATAAGACATAAGAAGGTAACTTATTTAAATTTTTTGGCTTTTTAAAAGTTAAAAAGGTAATTTTAAAATTTGAATTAGCTTAAATTGCAAATTTTATCAACGAAAGCGACGAACAGCTGCCGATCGAACACTTGTGTTTTTCTTGGTTTGCGTACCAGGTTCAAATGTGCCTGTAGCAATTAATATTTTGCATTTTTTGTTAATTTTCAAATCATTTTATTTTTATCTCATTTATATTCACCAACTTCAATAAATATCAAGGATACCATTACTGTAGTCTCCCCTCATAAGAAAAAATTTCTTATTCATGTTAATATTATTTTACTGTGTGATTTTTGTGGCTGCGATTTATCTTTCCAACACTCACTTAACTAACTTTTTTCAACAATATGTCTAATGATTACAATACGTATTTAGTTGAAGATATTACCCTCAAAAATTGAAAAAAAATTTTAAATTAGTCCCTTAATTAAGCAAAAAGTAGCTTAATCAACTTTATCCATACAAACAATTAAAATCATTCATTTCTAATATTTTTAGAGAATTTATTGTCAAATTAGATTTGATATGATAAAATTATTAAACTAAAAAAGTAAATAATTTTACTTTGTAATTTGTTAATTTTTTAACTCTATTGTGTATGCTATTACTAGACTATAACATTACAAATCTTTTGGAAACTTGTTGTTGTATAAATCATAAATCTAAAGAAAAATGATTTTTAGTTTCACTTCAATTTAACAATAAATTTTTACAATTATAATCAAATTTTATAATACGTTCTATTGAGTAGATCTTATTAACAATTTTTTTTTTTATTGGTTTTTTTAGTTAAAGTAAATCATTAAAATTAACTCAAATTTGCATTTTTCAATTATAGAATCTTTTTGAACACCAAAAATTAAAAAAAGTTGTCATTTTAAATCCTAGGTAAAGGGTCAAATTTATAAAAAAAAATTACATTGATATGGTCATTTTTAAAAAAAGTTTTAAGTAAAACAACTTGAAAAAATTTCAAAAATTAGCGATTTTAAATTTGTAACTTTATTGGAGATTTTTCCAATATTAGGGGAACAAAAAAAAAACAAAGTAAAATTAATACTTTCTCAGCTTCGCATTGAATTAAAACACTAGACTTAACGAACTTAAGGATTTAAGGTTAAGGATTTCTAACAAAGAATATTTAATATATTTAATAAGATAATATAGAATAAATATTCAGTTTATCGAATAGTAAGTAACTTTTTGTTATTTATGTACCATACAAGTTGCGGTTGAAGTGGTCATGCATGATTTAGCGTACAATTAGCATTGACTATTTCTCCGACAATATATTCGGATTGAAGACCACTTAATTGTGGACTTTCAGGTAGCACTGTAAAGTAAATTAACAAATAAAATTATTTAGAAATATAAAATAGTTAAAAGCAGAAGTAAAAACCCAGCACAGAGGGGTCGCGGCATAGTTGGATCAAGTATAATGATATCTGACAGTGATTAAAATCACTATCAAAAAAAACGATTCGATGCAAATCTTTAGATAGTGTTTAATTTTAAAAAAATTAGTGGATTATTCCAAAAGTTACATGATCTGCTAGTTCCTTATTAATATCCTAATTAAGATAAAGTATGTCAAATGAAAAAGGGAATATTAAAAAATATTATTTCTCAAAAAAAAATTATGTTGATCCATACACTTTTCAATTAGTTTCAAGAGTTAATTTTTTCATTTGCAATGCAAAGCTGAGAAAATATTGTTTTTACTATGATGTAATATTCTTTATTTGTGTCAGTAATGTTTTTCAGTTCCATTGAGTAATTTTGTGTAACAATATGTAAAAATTATCATATTTTAAATCATTATCGTTATTTTTTGGAAATTATACCGTTGTTCCGCGTAAATGAGAAAAGGTCTCTAAAAATAATACAGTTTTTAAAATTAATTTATTTTTTTTACTTTTTTAACTGAAAATTGGAAAAAAAATTATG